ACTCCCCTTTTTGGAGAGGGATGGTGAGGGGTGTCCCCCCCCCCCCCGCCACCACTGGCCAGGGGAGTTTGGTAAAGAGAGATGAAAAAACCGATTTGTACCTTCCTTAAAAGTTGTCCTAGCTCGCTATTCTAATATCTAGGGGAAATGACGGCTTCGGCATGACAGACTATTTTCGGCACCCCAAATTGAAACACTATTTTCACTGGATTTTCTTACGAAAACACTTCGCTGAATGCATGCAAACGATTCTTTATGCTTTCAGCTTCAATTTGACTATATTTTTACCACTGAGAAAAAGCAATCTAGCAGGGTTTTCTTGAAATGAAACACACGCACTACAAATTGTAGCTGATTTCGAGTTGCCGATAATAGAACAGCAGATTTACATGCAGTTCAAATGGAACGGTTGCCGAAGAAAAACTGGTTGCCGACAATACTCGCTCTCACTAGAGAAGATTGGAGCTTTGTAAAAGCGTTTCAAAACAGTTTTTGACAATTCTTTCGATTGAAATTGTTAGAACAGCTGGCAGCAAAAGATTGTAAACAAACCAATACTGCATAAAGGGTGATACGGTCAAAATTTGGTCAATATCAACTTGACGTATTTCTTTCAATTTTGCATTTAAAAAACCTGAACACCCCTCATTTTGAAGGTGTGTGTGTGTAGAATGTTGCTCCTATTTTGATTTTGGAATTCACTCTTCAGTTGTCAAAATGCCGTCCAAGCAAGAAGAGCAGCGTATCAAAATTTTGCTCGCGCATCGCGAAAATCCGAGCTACTCGCACGCAAAGTTGGCAAAATCGCTAAAAGTTGCCAAATCAACCGTTACAAATGTAATTAAAGTGTTTGGGGAACGTTTGTCGACAGCCAGGAAGTCTGGATCGGGGGGAAATCGAAAACCGGAAGCCGCTGAGACGACAAAGAGAGTTGCCGGTAGTTTCAAGCGAAACCCTAACCTCTCTCTCCGAGATGCCGCAAATAAGCTGGGTGTATCGTCTACAACCGTGCATCGAGACAAAAAACGAGCCGGACTATCGACTTACAAGAAGGTAGTGACTCCAAATCGCGATGATAAACAAAATACGACGGCCAAAGCGCGATCCCGGAGGCTGTACACGACGATGCTGACGAAGTTTGACTGCGTGGTAATGGACGACGAAGCCTACGTCAAAGCCGACTACAAGCAGCTTCCGGGACAGGAGTTTTATACGGCAAAAGGAAGGGGAAAGGTAGCAGATGTTTTCAAGCACATGAAACTGTCAAAGTTCGCAAAGAAATATCTGGTTTGGCAAGCCATCTGTACCTGTGGCTTGAAAAGCAGCATTTTCATAGCTTCCGGGACTGTCAACCAAGAAATTTACGTGAAAGAGTGTTTGAATAAACGTCTGCTGCCTTTCCTGAAGAAACACGGTTGTTCCGTACTGTTTTGGCCGGATTTGGCATCTTGTCATTACGGTAAAAAGGCCATGGAGTGGTACGCCGCCAACAACGTGCAGGTGGTTCCCAAGGACAAGAACCCTCCCAACACGCCAGAGCTCCGCCCAATTGAGAAATACTGGGCTATTGTCAAGCGGAACCTAAAGAAGACCAAAAAAACTGCTAAGGGCGAGCAGCAGTTCAAGGCAAACTGGCTTTCTGCGGCGAAGAAGGTGGACAAGGTGGCTGTACAAAATCTGATGGCAGGGGTCAAGCGTAAGGCCCGGCAATTCGGATTTGGAAAAGCGGAAGCCTAACTGAATATTTTTCCTGAATTTTATACTAATTGAACTTGAAAAAGAAATTTAATTTGATTTTTTAAATAAACGATTTCACCGATTTACACGCGTTTTCCCTTGACCAAATTTTGACCGTATCACCCTTTATGTGTGCGTTCCATAGAGAAAAAGGCTATAGAAAGAAGATCGCTGCTTAGGTTGCCGAGAATACGTAAATTCCCCTATATACAATCTTCACACTGCCGGAACTATCAACTCTATGCTTTCATCTACTCCATCTATCGTATAAAAATTACCTTTACAGTCTGTTATTTGAAATTAGCATCTTCAACTATGTAAATCGTTGACTTCACGTAGAAGTAATACTAAAAACATATAGTCAAAGGGAAAATAATTTCATTTGATAAAAATAAGACAATTCAGTCACGCCATTTTTGCAGTTCACTCTGGAATTGTGACGTTTCAGATGTTGGTTTCAATCAGCGCTGCCATTTATACAGATTTCTCTGTATTATACAGATTTTTTAATCTTAATACAGACCCGATACAGAATACAGATTTATCACAGATTTTTAAATTACAATACAGATTTATACAGATTTTTATAAAATGCTTGAGAAAAAAAAATCTATATCAAAATAAGTTATCAAGCAGTTCTCACTAATATCAATATATGTTATAATTTTGATATTCTTCGCATATCTTTTAGCTCTCATTTTTGTTCTGTTAGCCATCAACTCCTTCAAAATGAAATCAATTTGTGTTATCAGGAATAATGAAAACAACATAATTCTTATAATGAGAGAGAGAAGGATTAGTATTTTCCATTTAATTCCACTACTTTATTTGCTTATCCTTGACAGATACGCGTATTTCGTCTACAATGTGCAGACTTCTTCAGTGTCTTGTACTAATACTCGACTAGTCGAGTATTAGTACAAGACACTGAAGAAGTCTGCACATTGTAGACGAAATACGCGTATCTGTCAAGGATAAGCAAATAAAGTAGTGGAATTAAATGGAAAATACTAATCCTTCTCTCTCTCATTATACAGGTATTCCACTAAGACGCCCACATTCATCAGAAAACATAATTCTTGTTTTCATTTTGTTCTCACCCTCTGCTCGGGAACCTATCAAATTTTCATCGACAATAATTAATCATGTTATAGTGTTTTTGACAGCATTCACAACCAGAGGACCAACCGCTTTCGGATGCATATGGAGCTGGTAGTAAACGATTTGAGATTGTATGGGGATTTACAGTATTAATTGAATATTTCCAATATAATCATGTATGTTAAATACAAGAAAAGTGCCCGAGCACATTAAAATGGTACAAATACAAGTACTCGTAAACAATTTATTTGCATTGAAAATGTATTTCGTAAGAAATTGCGGATTTTCTGATATTCTCCATACTGCAAAAATGATTTTACCAACACTGGCGGGGCGACATCTCTCGACTTTTCGGTGTAACTACCACACAAATGATGTAATTAATTGTATTCATCTATATTAAAAATATCAAATAGTAATGAACTCGTGCACTTTTTTGCATTTAAAACTGCTTATCAGGAAGATAATGAATAGAAACTAAAATCTCCATACATTTTCAAACGGCTTCATATCACTCTTATAAATAAGTACGGACGATATCACAAATGGCACAATTATATCCCGTATGGTTAGTACGATAGCCCGAATAGGTGGTTAAGCACTTTTTATGGTTATTTTGTATGCACTGTATTTGTAAAACAACAAAACATGATTAATTAAGAAAAAAATCGTCAATACAGAAAATACAGATTTTTTAATAGAGTGAATACAGATTTTTTATAAAACCACCTGGCAGCTCTCAATAACATGGCGGCATGTCACCCAGCTGGTTGAGAGTCTCGACAGCACATTTTTGCACACACGAGGAAAATGTAACTCTGGTTATAATGCAACTCTTCTTTATCCAACTATTGTTTTGCTTCTCTCAGCAATAGCACGCAACACCACCCTACTGCTTATCTCTGAGAAAATTTATTTGGTTATTTTGAGAAAATAATCAAACGAAGTGTTAAAAAATAAATAACAAAAAATGTCAACATCAATATTTTTGATTTATAAAAAAGATTATGAAAAATTACAACTTTTGAAATGTTGCAAACCTTGGACACTTACAAATTGACAAAAATCGTAGAACAACAACTCTTTAAACTTTTGGTTCGTTTTTTCGTAACTGATGATAATTGTCTACATTTAGGCGTATTTTTGAAGTATTATGCAATTTTTTCGTAAACCACAACTTTTGTTGAAATTTTAACACCAGACTCTTCTTCAGCGAACACAAATCAAGTATAAATGCTATCTTCTGATTCTGAATATTGCATTGCACAAAAACCTGCATGATCAACTTCACCCCAGAATTGATAATATGCATTTTTAATTTTATTTTAATACTAAAAAATAAACCAATCATGCAATTTGAAAACTAAATCCGTACTTTACAAATGGATTTATTAGTGCATGTTTCAGAGGCATTTGTTAGTGTGTCAAATATATGATTGAAAAAATATTCAGGTATTTCGGTAAAACGTGATCAACTTCCCCCCGTTTTACGGTATCCATTGTCCCGCCTACCAGTCACTCTATCAGCAATTCAACCATACAAAGGCCACTCGTCCTGTCTGTCTGTCCTGGTTGTCAAAAGTGGTGCAAAGTACATTGAAATAAGTTGCAGTTTTTGATAGCGATGAAATAAAATTAATTTAACAAATGAAGTATCATTGACATGTTTAGTCTTTCCTATCGAATTCGAATTGTGAAGGTTGTCAAAAACCGAACACTGAATGCAATTTATCGATTAATATAGGAAAAACTTTTCCACATACGCCAAACGCGGTAGCAACCGGTACTTAAAATAGAATCACGCTATCACACCAGACGGGGTACATTTCTACACACGCTTCCCACATTGTACCTTCTAGATATACGTCGTTTCATTTGGCATTCCTCCGATGCACTTCCCCATTGCACATACATACATGGGACGACGTCGAAGTGAGAAGCCGCAATTTTATCACCCGACAGCATAATAGCGATATCCTGCGTGGTACTAGATGGCAGGGTGCGGCGGCACGAGGCATCGAACAGGAACTGCGTCACACCCCCAACATTCTTCTAGTTTGTACTAATCGCCTACAAACATGCCTACCCTAACAACAACCTAACAAGTTAGCTGGAAGCGGAAAGAGAAAGTATTAAACTTGTTTCTTTTGTTCTATTTCTAGCAACCGGAAGGCGCGAGTAAACCCAAACAGCAGCAATCCTCCGGTGGCAGTGGCCGCAACTCGTCCCTAGCCCAACGTAGTGCTCAGTTCCAAGCGAATCGGCAAAATTCCGAAACCGCCGAAAGACGCCCGCCGCTGGTGCGGGCTATGTCAGCTCCGATCCGACCGATAGACAACGATTCCAAGTTCCTACAGAGTAAGAAGAAGACCCGGAAGAAGAAGATTTTGCGGTACGCTGTTTTCTGTTTGAAGTGATTTCCAAAAACTTAAGATCCCTGTCCCTGCTCTTTTTCCAGTGAACGCGACGAGATCAACGAGTGCGATGAGGACGACTTCGACGAGGAAACACTCAAACTCAACACGACCAACAGCAAGAACACGCTCGCTGCAGCTGCTGGTGGTCCACGATCGCGCTCGGTGCTAGGGGGAGCGTGCGACATCGAAACCCTCGTTTCGCTACTCAGCTCCGGGGGAAGCGACTCGGAGAAGGAGGATACGGTGCCTACGCACGGTGCGGATTCCACCGGAAACAGCTCGACCAATTTCAATATCAACATCAGCTCGGCGCTCAAGTCGCGTGCTCCAATGCTCAAGAAGGCTGGCAAGTCGGGTATGTAACCACAGAGGTTCGGCAAGTGGCTGCAAAATCATGCTTTCGGTTTGTCGACAGTTTCATTCCAGGAGACCGAGCTGAAGCAAACCGCCGGACTCAACCGGGACTACTACCAGCCGGGTCATCGCAAGCCACCGTCACTGCAACCTTTTGCCAATCGAATCAGGAGAAGCCAACAGTTGGCCAATACGTTGAATGCGTTTCAGAAGAAAAAGTGAGTTGATCTGACTTTTGTTCAGTGTTTTCGGGTGTCGTAGCTTTGCAATCAGTAACATTTTGTCGCACAATGGATATTTTAAATATTATTTCTCCTCCCAGTTTAACCGAGGGCACCAAGTCCGACGAGGATAAGGACCAGCACAGCAGCGATGAATCCAAGGACAATGCCAAAAGCAGCGATTCCATCCCACCATCATCAAATCCAACGAAAACGGTTCAGGCGTCATCCCCGTCGTCGTCGGATGCCAAAACAGGAGATGCTGGCAGTGGTGCCAGCGGTCAGGATGGTGGACTGGTGGACGGCCAGACACCGAAGGAACGCGAATGCTACCGGCTCTTTCAGAAGATGTCCAACATGGGTCTCTCGGTGTCGTACGATACGATCCTGCGGGGAATGCTGACGCCAACGGAGCTGAGAGTACTCCAGAAGCAACGCACCAAGCTGCAGAAGCAACAGGAGTCATCACGCCAGAACAGCAGCGAGACGGAGAAGGAGAACGACAGTAGCGACAATAGCAAAAGCGAGGGAACTGCTAATGCTAGTGATTTGAGTAGTTTGCTTAGCAGCGGACCGGAACTGGAGGTCGTTAGTGGACCCCTGCCGGTATTAGCGGAACAAACGGTAGAACAGTGAATTTGGGCTAGATATTTTATTTAGGTTCAGCAGAAATTTGGTTTGATCAGCAAACTGTGATAGAAACTGATTACTCGAATGGGTACAAAATGGACGAAATGTTACGAAGCACCTATTATTGAAGCGCACATTGAACGAACAGAGTTTTAAGCATGTTGGCAAAAGGTTCAGAGTTTGTTTTGAAGATGAAGCTCAGTATCAGTTAGTTTTAGAAACCCCAAACAAGGACTACGGCACACAGTTGAAACTTTGTTAGAAATTGCTTTAGCTAATTGTAGCCACAATAAAGAATGTATGTTCCGAAAAAAAAAATGGGCATGGCAATGGATTACTTTGACAGCCGAAAAGATTATCGCTTGCTTGTATGATGGATTGGGCTTTCTTTCGTAGAACGTTTCAAAGGGCTTTCTTTCACGTTCTACCGGAAGAACATCTCTCGTTTCTATTTTTAAACATTTTACTCGAATCTTCTGAGTTCATGCATCTGTAATTTTCTGCAGAATTCTATTCCTGTCACGCTCCAATCCAAGCAAAAAGGACGATTGTTTACTCTTTTCGCTCTCTACTCAGTTCTCGTATAAATAGTAAGCAAATAGCATTTTCTTATAAAAAGCGTTTCTGCGTTGGAGCTGGGACCTTTTTTTTTTTGTTAAACGAAAACCTTACTGGAACAGCGTTAAAAGTAACTATGCAATCTATAATTAAATGGGATTCACTCGTACAAATAGACTAAAAAAATAACGTAAAGTTTAAATTAAATAACATATATCACACGCACTTTTAGTTCATTTCAACATACACCGATTCTCGATTCTCATTTCCCACGCGCTTTTTTGTTTTGTTTTATTTTCCTTACCTCCAATTACAACAACTGATTTAAACCGAATGTCCTAAAATTCCTTTTCCTTCAGAAGTGAACCTGTTTTGCTTGCACTGCGCATCCTTTCGCAGTTATGCGTATGAAGCGACACCATTTTGTGTTAATACTGATTTCGTTCTGAAATTTTCGTTTTTTTTTTTTCGTTTTCACTCGCTACAAATTTTACCCTACGACACTTCTTCCGTCTTCTCTCTAAAACTTAAAAACTAAATAAAACAATCTGAACCGTCGTTTAGTCGTTTCCGTACATTCTTCCAGGGCATAGACAAAAAAATATATATGCAGTTCTTCTCTCAATATGTTTAAGAGTGCGATATAAAGTGCGAAAATATCACTGGTACACCGGTAGTTGTAGTTGTATTAATATGTAATAGGTAGTAGTAGATGATCTTTTTTTTTTTTTCTTTTTCCTTTTGCTCTCGTAATAATATTAGCATTCGATTAGTCTTCAAATGCAAGTAGACTGATTGTTCATATTGCTGTAAAACATGGCACTACTTCTCGTCTTCGTCGCTGTGGAAGCATTTATTCTCATGGTGAGTATTTCCTTGCATATAGCAGGAGAGTAATATTTGTTTTATTTTCATTATTATACGGTTTGGGATCGATGGGTCACTGATTTAGATGTTTTTTATGAGCCTAATTTGTGTTAATCTAGCCAAATAGTCGGACATAAAATGCCTATCAAGCACCATCTGCCAATGTAGGGCTGAAATCATTCAAAAAAGATGCCAGCCCAAAGCAAGCACTGCTAATGGCAACTTTGGGCCATTGTACAACGTCAAATATGTTTGACTTATCCAAAAGGCAAAATAACTTAAGTATATTAGAAAATATCGTCAAATATTTCTAAATATCATCGAAAAGATTTGAGTAAAAAAAAAAATGAATATCAAAACATATTTTGATATATTCAGCCAGGCATTTATCAGGCATTTTTTGTCGGTGTGACTAGTAAAGAACGGTGGTATGACTGATCATTTGAGACAAAATGCTGTACTGGTGAAACGTCTGGTGAGCTTTGAAGAAAAGATGGCAGGTCGCTGAGTTTAAAAGGTTCGAAAAGTTCGATTTAAATTAGCCTACTTGTCGGGTACAAAACTAGTAAGAACTAGAGAGGGTCTAGTATAAGAGAGGAGCGGACTGGCTGGTTTTGAGCCAAACGATCTGTCAAATCCAGAGCCCATCGAGCAGCGCCTATTTTGATTGCATTGCAGGTGTTGCTAGAAATCACCTAGGCATATGTTGCCAAGGCAGTTTGTTTTGAATCCGCTCTTCTCTTATACTAGACCCTCTCTAGTAAGAACCACTTTGGTTAGACATCTTGAAGTCGTTAGTGACAACTGTCAAGCCGTTCCACTTCCGCTTTCACCCACATTGCGAGTGGGTCTTTACTGTTCAGACCGACTCAATTTCGGCAAAAGCGGATTCACTCAAAAGTGAGATAAATTTTCCGGGCAAAACCCGTGGAAAACCAGGAAAAACTTCTCAAATAAGAGGAAAAACCATGAAAATTTTACTCAGTTTACTAATAGACTGAGTGAAACCACTATCGATTTTCCTCATATTCGAGAAGTTTTTCCTGGAAAAGCCCGCAAAATTCAACTAACTTTTGAGTAAATCCCAAGGGGTAAGTCACTCAGTACATTGTGCCAAAATTAGATTCAGCACAACTTGGGCACATCCATCGGCACACCTTCGGCATAATCTCGTAGGCATTGTATTGTTGTAAATAAAATGCACTGCTGGAAAACTGGCATTGAAGTTGTTCACAACATTACGAGCTGTTTAACTGTACAGGGTGCGTGACGAATTTTTGCAGTAAATTTCAAATAGTAATTTCTCATGCTTGTGCATCATGATTTAGATATATTTGGCAGCACTGGATAGCCTATACTGTTAGGTGTAAGATTTAAACCAACAATGTTGAGTAAACGTAAAGATGTCGAAACAAGAGAGCAATCTGTCAGCCGTTGTCGCTTTGTTGCGCGCCGGAGTATGCATGAAAGAAATAATTCGGTCGGTAAATGTGTCTGAAAGAACAGTGTATAATATTAAAAAAGGCTTGGGAAAGTGATAAGACGCCTGCTCATACTGCTAACAAAACACAGAAATGGCTTACGGAAAATATTTCGTAAATTTGGGAGGAAGAGATTTGGCCCCCAAGCAGTCCCGATATCAATCCGTTGGATTATTTTGTATAGGGCGTCGTCCAACGGGATACCAATAGAACCCCTCACACCACACTTAAGTCGCTAAAAGCTAAAATCAAGGCAGTGATGACATCTATGGATCGAAACATTTTAAAACGTGCATACTGCAGTTTCCGGAAGCGTCTAACTACAGTCGTCGAAAGGGAAGGCATTTTTTTTTTGAATAAATTTACTTACAACTTCCATATGTTGCGAAAGAAAATAAATCGCACAAAATTCATTGCTAGAATAACTAACTGGTGTATTTTTTCTCAAATATGCCATTTACTGCAAAAATTCGTCACGCACCCTGTATATTCAGGAACATCCTCTTATTGAATATACCAGAGGAACTCAGACCAACAGTTCACTTATAGATCTAAATACGAAAGGTAGGTTCTAGAGTGGGCTCAAGAGAAAGATGCAGTTAATCAGACCCCATTATTATCTTTAATTCAAATAATTCTGCAACTCACACAAAACAAACAACAGAAGTCTATTCATCATCCTCTATAGTCGGTCTCCAACAATATTCCCCAACTCTTTCCGGCCGCTGATAGACCGTTGCTTTCATATCACGAAAGGCTAGGTTTCTGGTCTGCCTTTGAGGGCATTATAAAACCCTAAAACACAAGGCTTTTATTATCCTATGAACACAAAACACCAAAATTTCGCACACCCGCCACTTCCCACAATTCGATCTATCCTTGCGATTTCAAACCAAAACATTAAAGCTATCAGAAATACCGGGTTGCCGGGATTGGTATTTTACAAACAATCGCAGCTTGCTCTATGTCCGGCACAATCGACATACCTGCGGCACACTGACAAAAAAGATGACCCAAGATTGGTGTGCGGAGTGACCTACCCCTTGGTAAATCAACTTTTGCCTAAATTACGTCGCCTCTCCTCAATTTTGAACGGTCTGAACGACCGTGTGTTGAAGTAGATAACCGCAGTGCATAAATGCGCCAAACAACGCGAGCAATGTGAAGAAAACTCGTACAAATAGTCAAACCTTACGGCCAATGAGAGTAACTCAAAACGGAGTCGACTTGGTTTCAACCTTGCAAAAAGTGTAGTACTCAGTTAATGAGTCAAATTTTCCTCGATTTTCCAGCAAAAATGGAGGAAAATCGAGATATATCTCACTCAGTATATTAGTATGCTTCTAGACTGAGTAAAATTTCGGTTGATTTTCTTCATATTCGAGCAGTGTTTCCCGGAAAAGTGGGCAAACATTTCACTCACTCACTGTCTCTCATCGGCCGTGTTTCTTATCTGATTTTGTAAACAATTCAAGCTGAACATTGCATTAGGTCCTAAGTAACATTGATCGATTCTCTTCGTCGACTTTCTCATTCGTTAATAACTTGAGCACATAACCGTTTCTTGACGTGTTTGTCGTATTAAATGCTAGATAAAAGCTTCTTTTATCGATCTGTGCGCTGAAAATACCTGGGAATGTCTTTTCATGGCCGTGGGAATACAAAGAGAAAGTCGACGAAGAGAATCTGTCAATGTTACTTAGGACCAGTGTTGGGAAAATATCAAAATATCAAATCGCACCAATGCCCAAGATCGCGCCTGATTTTCGTAGACAAAAATCAACAAGCATACAGCTGCGGTTGATTTTGCAAGCTGTGATATCGCAGCTCGGAATTTCAAGCTAACAAAACTCACCAGCTGCAAATCTCAACAAACTGTAGTGAGATTGAGTTTAATGATTTTTGCTTTACACCCGAACGCAACCGAAGATTCCATAACGGCTGGCAGCAGTCACTTCGTGTCTGCCATCGGTGAACAGTAAAAAGAGATATCAAACTATACTTTCTCTTTCTAAGAAAACGATGTGCAACGGAATCATGTTTGTGTCAAGTCAACTCTCCGCTTGAGTTTTGCACGTTTTGAATAGTCTCGCAATATCAAAGGAGTTTGTTAAATCAATATCAAGCATGATATTTTGTTCCAATATCACGCGTGATATTGAGACCGTATGAGAGCGGAAAAATATAATTTGATTGATGATTTTGCCAACACTGCTTAGGACCTTAGGGGCTTCCATTAGCTCAGTCGGTAAAGGCGCAGCTACAAAGCAAGACCATGCTGGAGGCGGCTGGGTTCGATTCCCGGTCCGGTCTAGGAATTTTTCGGGTTGGAAAATTTCTCGACTTCCCTGGGCATAGAAGTATGATTGGACTTGCCACACAATCATATCAATGCAAAAATGGTACAGGCAT